CCCCCCCCTTTCTCCAAACTCAACAAGTCCAGGTCCTTCAGCCTCTCCTAAGAAGTCATGTGTCCCAGTCCCCAAACCATTTCTGTTGCTCTCCACTGGACTCTCTCCAATGTGGCCACAATCTTTCTGTAGAAGAGGGCCCAAAACTGGACACAGGACTCCAGATGTGGCCTCACTGCTGCTCAGAGGGGAAGCATCAATACCCTTGATCTGCTGGCAACATTCCTACAAATGCAGCCCAGGATGCCATTTGCTTTCCTCACAACAAAGGAAAACTTTTGGTTCCTATTCAGCTGGTTGTCCACTGTAACCACCAAGTCATTTTCTGCAGACCTGCGACTTACCAGAACACAAGCATACCTACGCCCAAGTAGCAGCAGGTCACTCCCAACTAGTGGCTGTTAAACCTTGTGTTGAGGCCACAAGTCCCCATACTTGGGCAAAGCTTTGGAGGCCTTGCTCCCTGTGGGGGATCCAGCCTTGTGAACCCAACTGCAGGGTGATGCTGAGGCCCGTGAAGAAACTGGAGGGCACTTGGCACCAGACAACAGAGGCAGCAGGCTTCCCTAGACCAGGAGAAAGGGGAAACGTGAGTCTAGAGTGCATTTGCACCCACGTGTCTACCCTGCCCTGGGTCATAGATTCATAGATGTTAGGGTCGGAAGGGACCTCAACAGATCATCGAGTCCGACCCCCTGCATAGGCAGGAAAGAGTGCTGGGTCTAGATGACCCCAGCTAGATGCTTATCTAACCTCCTCTTGAAGACCCCCAGGGTGGTAGGGGAGAGCACCACCTCCCTTGGGAGCCCGTTCCAGACCTTGGCCACTCGAACTGTGAAGAAGTTCTTCCTAATGTCCAATCTAAATCTGCTCTCTGCTAGCTTGTGGCCATTATTTCTTGTAACCCCCGGGGGCGCCTTGGTGAATAAATACTCACCAATTCCCTTCTGTGTCCCCGTGATGAACTTATAGGCAGCCACAAGGTCGCCTCTCAACCTTCTCTTGCGGAGGCTGAATAGATCCAGTTTGGATGGGACCTCAGGAAGTTAAGTTAGAGCAATACTCTACTCAAGGCAGGATCATCCCTAACGTGTGGCGCCCAGAATTGCACGCAGTACTCCAACTGCGGTCTGACCAGCGCCCGATAGAGGGGAAGTATCACCTCCTTGGACCTATTTGTCATGCATCTGCTGATGCACGATAAAGTGCCATTGGCTTTTTTGATGGCTTCGTCACACTGCCGACTCATATTCATCTTGGAGTCCACTAGGACTCCAAGATCCCTTTCCACTTCCGTGCCACCCAGCAGGTCATTCCCTAGGCTGTAGGTGTGCTGGACATTTTTCCCCCCCAGGTGCAGCACTTTGCATTTCTCCTTGTTGAACCGCATT